GGATGTCTCGTAAGATTTGTAGAGCATTCTCTTAGCTTCAAGATGAATCAAGAATTATCTCAACCTAATTTTAGTAGTTCAAGTTATTGCCAAAATATTGAAACACATCAACCCCGTCAAACCACTTTCTCTTGACTTTTTTCTCTTTCATTGGTTTTTTGCGCCACATTGTTGGTCCGTTTTCTCTTCAATTGAACCTTTCATCTATTAGAGTAATATAATAACAAAATTAAGTAGTTTCTATTCAAAATAAAGCTCAAATAACATGGTTAACTAGTGACTTATGCATGCATATGTACTACAAAATACACCCTATCAGTTTTCCATTCTTTAAGAATATATGGAAAAATGTGAAGCGTGTGTATTCTTGTCTAAAAAATTTAAATTCACAATGCGAGAGCGAGCATGAGCAAGATCAAAGTTTTAATCGTAAGGTGTATTCTATCTTCTTATTTTTGTGTGTTTATCCTATGTTATTTAGAAAAACAATAAAAAATGGCTACTCTAAAAATGAATTCTCCAATAATAGAACTCGTATTAGGTTGGTATTTTTGTCGGTCGTGATGTTCTAATTGGCAAACCTTGCCTACAGGGGGACCGGCCATGGCGTCAGGCTGTTGTGGCCAAAATAACATTATCATCTGACGTAATAATATCAGTTACATTTTCTCGAATAAGTAAGGTAAAGAGAAGGTCAGGCTGTTGTTGCCAAAATAAGATTATTATGTGATGTAATAATATCGATTACATTTTACCGAATAAGTAAGGTAAGCTCTTTTATCGGTTGAACGGAGGATTCATTTCATATGGTGGGATGTGGTTGGTAGTGCTATTTTGTTGATCCCGGGTCTTTTTATTTGAGGTGAGGTTCTATCCAGTTCTATCCAGTTGTGTAAATTAGCACAATTTCGATGTAAAGTAATATATTCCTGGTTTTTGCCATTTGGAACTTCTATATTCCTTTCTTGGATGAGATCTAACACATTTGCCTAAAGCATACTTTGCTTCTCTTGATTGTTTTGAGGATTTTCTTTTTGAGGTTTTTGATTCTTGACTTGTCTCTATAATATAAGCTGTGTAACTTCATTTCCTCTAGAACACTGATTGGGAAAAGGGTAAAACTGATGGTTACCAATCCAAGGAGCAAAGAATAAAGTGTGATAACTACTAACCAAAATGGGATTCCCATTTGCAGCTACATAAGAAAAGTATATATCTTCTCTACCCTATATTTGCCTTAGTTTTCATTGTAGTTTCTCAAAATTCTCAGCAACAATTTGTTGTCCATCACTCTATCTATAACTATACCAAGACCTCATTAGTACATTTCTTGTTCTATCTCTCAACAATTCTCTGTGTGATTATCGCTCTGGTTTTTCAATCAAGCAAACTAAAAGAGGTATGTGTTTATATTTCCCAATCTCTTTCTCAGTTGATCTGTAAAGATATATTTGTACGGGCATGCAAAGCTCTAGATTATAAGCATAATTTTACTTAATTGCCATGATATTCATGCATTGCTTAAGCAGGAGTAGAAGAGAAAGAAAGTACTTTGGCGATTTCTCATGGTTGAATGGCAAGTCTTTTAAGTAAGTAATGACTTTAGTTAAATAAATAAATACATACAAAATTGGAGGAAAAAAAATAAAGAGAAAAAAGTAATAACTTTAGTTATAATGACATGAAGTTTACTAGAGCTGTAAACAAACCAAATCGAACCGAGTATCTCATATTTGAGCTCTGTTTGTTAAGCGATTCGAACAATGTTCGTATTCATTCGTTAATTTTCGAACCCCAAACCTGTATTCATGTTCGATTCATTAAGCAAAGTTCATGTTCGAGTTAGAGTTCGTGTTTGACTCGTTTAACATAAACGAGCTGTTCGCAAACATGTTCGAAATGCTTGAATCCAAATTATTTTAAACCTTAAATATGCCATACAAGTCATTAATCATTCTAAAAAATAATTAAAGCACTAAGTGACTAAATTCTATTATTCATTAACTATATAACTAACATTAACCTAAAAATAACAAATAAAACTCTCCAGATATAAACGTCTAGCCATAAAATTAACCCTAAAATTTGTCAAATGATAATGATACCCATGTTCGTGAACGTTCATTAAAACTCGCGAACATGCTCGTGTTCGCTCAATTATTAATCGAATAAAAAAATTCATTCGAATTCGGTTCGTTTAAGATTTTGAACCAGTCTTTCACGAACACGAACGTGTCGAAACGAACCGAGCTACCGAACAGTTCGGTTCGTTTAACAGCTCTAAAGTTTACTACGATAAAATATTATTACAATAAACCTAATCTTACTACTTTATACTCTTTTTTATTTTTAATAATGGGAGGTCTTGAACTCAAGAACTCCTATTTATAATTTCTCCCATCTTTCTATCTAATCCAACCCCACCCTCATCCCAACCAAGTTGATCATTTACTTAACAAAACTCACTATTGCTTTACGAAATTAAGCATTCACTTGCGGTGGAACATTGTTAGAGTATTGGTACATCACATAAAAGTGATTCAACTCTTTGTTGGTTTTTTTAGAATAAATCTTATATACATCGACAGTACACATACTATCACGATTAGATACATGATATATTTTAAATTTAAATAAATTATCATGCATTCAATGATGATGGCATATACACTGTCAACATGTAAAAGATTAATCATTTTTTTTATCAGTTGAACATAAAAATAATGGATTGGGTAGTTAACATTTCTCAAAACCCAAATTAGGTTGACGAAAGTTATTCAAATGTTCTTTTGATCAATTAACAAATAAAAATTGGATTTGGCCGTTAAAGATTCTGAAACCCTGCATTCTTCGCCATAGTTTGTGTGTTACTAATAGCAAATCTACAAGTTTGGCAGTTACTATCGACTTGAACTTTTCGTGAAGAAAATTTCCTTCTAAGCCAAGCTAGTCAGATTTCCATAATAAAAAACAAAAAAAAAGGCAAAAGAATCATTTGGGGTCACGCAAAAATGAAGAGGAATAAAGTAATTTTTCTTTTTTCCCCCCTTAAGAATATGGTAGTTTTCAAAAAGAGAAATAGAAGATTCATGAGGTTACTTTTAGTTGTGGTTAGCCAAACCTATGGAATTTTTTAATTTTCCAATGATGTAATGTAAGCTTTTGATTTGGAAGAATTTTTTTAACTTCTATTACAATTTATATCTCGTAATGAAGGTATGAAATATAGCAAAATCTTAGTAATAGGAATTGCCACGATGTTCGAACATCTTTAGCCTTTCTATTTCCTTCTAATGTATATCATCTAGTTTTCGTATGTCAATCAAGTGAATTTTTAAAAAAATAAATAAATGTACAAGGGAATAAAAAAAAGGAGCATCTTGTGATCATTTAATTATTACATCTTACTAAATAATTTTTTAATCATAATGTGTTGTAAAAAAAGTGATGTTTCGACTAATGCCATTGAACAGAAGATTAGTTGTAGGTAGAATCATTTAAACAAGAGTTGCATCTAAAAATCTACCATAGTTATACGAGGAATCCACACATGGACTTTGATGGTGTGAGCTTTTTTATTTTCTTTAATGTCATCATACATAGAATTTTCATAGCTTATTAGTTATTCAAAAACATTTCAGTTGTTGCAATCCAGCTAATACCATAGTAAATAATTTAACGCTTAATAAGAAATTAAAGTTCTACAAAAATGGAAGGGATTTTTTTTTTAAAGTATGTAGTAAGATTTAGACCAACAAGCTTTCTAGTAGTTTATAGATTTGGATCCACATAGAAGATCTGTCAAATACATTAGTGAAGAGCTTATTCATTGTTTTATAAATTGTTAGTCGAAAGCATCATCCGAACAGTGCACAAATGTTGATTAGACCAAAGAAATAATTATTAATTCTTTCTTGATGCAGTGTCTAATCTTCCATTAGAAATTCTAAATTCTAGTGCTATAATGGTTTTACATATAGTGTCTAATCTCCTATTAGAAAGTTTTAGATATAGTGTCTAATCTCCCATTAGAAATGCTAAATTCTAGTGCTTTAATAGTTTTACTTGCATTTTTCCTATAATGACATTTTTAGTGATTGCTCCATGCCAGATAAAGGGTTTTCTTCTATCCTAAGACTCCTAATTTCTTGACCTGCTTCACGCATAAGACTTAAAAATATTCAATTAATCTTGCTATAAAACAAGCAGAAACCTAATTGAATATTTGGAGACTTTTAGTGGCTTGAGATAAAATTTATCTAAGACAATAGATATATGCACATTATCTTTATCAAATAGCCTTTACAGTTTTCTTTCTTTACACTATTTTATTGATTGTTGGACATATGAGATTTTAGATTTTCATCAAACAGGTGAAAACATACACATATCTTTGCACCTTAATTACTTTATATAATGTATTTTCTAAATTCTTAAAAAAAAATCATGAGTTTAAATAATGTTGCCAATATGAGAAATGTGTTGATGGGTAATTTGCCTGCTCTAACTTATGGTGGTGACTGAAGTCAAAACTATTCATAATTTTCCCTCCAAAAAGAGTATTTTCTAAATTAATATTGGATAAATCTAAGCTAATATATGAGAACAACAGAAACATTACTAGCATCCTTTACGTTTCACCGAACATTTAATTAAACTTAGTCCAATGACCTAATCTTTTTGTCTCCTTCTGTTCATAGTCATCATAATCTTTACTCTTAAGGATTTATCATCATCATCACCATTATTATTATTTTGGTTAAGGAAGGCTCTACAGCTCACATGAGAGAGAGAGAGAGAGAAAGAGAGAGAGAGGATACACTTTGATAGTCAAACTAGGAAATTCATGATCATCTGGCCACATCAACTGAATTAGGCTTTGGGGACATCATCACCTCATTTGCATATTCATAAAATATTTTCTTATCTGTTATAAAACTGAATTTTTCTAATTTCCGTAATAACATGGTTATAGACATTGGAACAGAAATATTGGAATAATGGCCATGCAAGATATTGGTGTTTCGATTGTGGGGAAAATCGCGGAGAAGTTTATTGATCCAATTATGCGTCAATTTCAGTATTTGTTTTGCTATAGAAGCAACGTTGAAACCCTGAGGAATGGCATCAAAAAACTCAAGCTAACTAAAATTGAGGTGCAACGATTGGTAGATGCAGCAAGAAACAATGGTGAAAAAATTAAACCAATTGTTACTGATTGGCTAAGGCGGCTGATGGTCTAGAGAAAGAGGCAGATACTATTTTTGAGGGTATGGAGAATGTTAAGGTGAATTGCTTGAAAATTGTTACGCTTCCGAATTTGAAGTCACGTTATTTGATAGGCCGCCATGCTGCCAAAAGAGGAAATGATGCTGAAAAACATCTCAGAGAGCGGCGGTTTGATGAAGTTGGATACCTTCCTCCACTAGGGAAAATGCCTTTTAGTGAATCAACCCCATCCTTTGAGGAAAGTCTAATTACAAGGATGTCAATGAAAAGGGAAGTGATTGAAGCTCTAAAGCAGGATAAAAGAAGTCTACTCGCAATTTGTGGTATGGCCGGCGTAGGCAAAACTTTTTTTCTGGAGCAAATTGCCGACCAGGTTAAGTCTGAGAAACTGTTTGATGGCGTAGCCTTTGCAACTGTTTCTCAAAATCCAGACATGAGAGATGTCCAAAATCAACTTGCTGAGCAGTTAAGGATAAAATTAAATCCTGAGCACAGTGGTCGTGCAAGAGCTGAGCAGATTTATACTAGACTAATCAATAGTGACAAGAGAAATCTTGTTGTGCTGGATGACATTTGGGAAGAAGTGGATCTTAGGAGTCTAGGAATTCCCATTAGATCAGGTGAGTGCAAGAGCTTAACAGTTGTATTAACATCTCGGTTCTCTCATGTGTGTAGGAACATGGAAGCTGAAATTTTTGAGGTGAATGCCTTGCCTAAGGAAGAAGCATGGCATCTTTTTAAAGAGGTTGCGGGAATTTCCGATGATTCAGCTTTGAGTGACGTTGCAAAACAAGTTGCAGAAGAATGCAAAGGATTACCTCTAGCAATCGTTGTTGTTGCCAGGGCATTTAGGACTAATTATACAACACCAGAATCCTGGAAACTCGCCCTTGGACAGCTAAAGAAGTACACAATGAGAGACCTAGAAAGAGTTCAAGATTTGGTGTTTTCCAGAATCGAATGGAGCTATGATCGTTTGAAAAGTGTTGAAGCCAAGTCACTGCTACTGTTTTGCAGCTTGTTTCCAGAGGATTATAGCATTCCAGTCGAATGTTTGGTTAGGTATGGGAAAGGGCTGGAAATGTTCCAAGATAGAGAGACTTTGGGAGATATGAGATACAGAGTTGACCAGAGTATCAGTGACCTTAAAGGTTGCTATTTGTTGCTAACTGATAGTGGAAAAGAAGACCATGTAAAATTGCATGACGTCGTGCGAGATGTTTGCTTGAAAATTGCATCAGAAGGTGAGCATGTATTTTTGGTAAGGAATGTTGGAGGAGAAGAAAGGCACCCGAAACCTGATTCATTTGGTCGTTATACAGCTGTTTCGCTGACATGGAAGGGCAATTCTAATGGACCATTTCCATTGGGAGAGGAATGTCCAAAGCTTAGGCTGCTGCGTTTGGTCTTCCAGTCAGGCAAAATGATCAGCCTATCACAAGATTCTTTTGCAGGGATGGAAGATCTCAGGGTCATGGAGTTTAACAAATTACAGATTAAATTTTCACCATCAGATCCTGGCCAAATGTTGATGAGCCTTCGGACATTGTGCCTGGATTATTGTGAGTTAGGGATTGGAACGTCGTCAATGATTGGATACATAACGCAATTGGAGATTTTGAGCTTCTTTGGGTCCAGACTTCAGGATAATCAGTTTCCAACCGAAATTGCTCATCTGAGTAATTTAAAGGTGTTGGATTTGAGGGTTGAAAGTAGCCGCCACCCGTTGTCTCTTGGTATCTTGTCAAGCTTGAAAAAGCTAGAAGAATTGTATATGGGATTTCATCGTCCATTACGGCTAGGGAGAAATGCAGAAGAAGAAAGAGGATGCATTAAAGAGATCACATCACTCGCTTGCCTTGAATGTCTCCAAATTAATTTACATGGCATTGACGACCTGCTTCTATTATTACACGAATTCCCTGTTGAGAGGTTGTCAAGATTTAACATGATTTGCAAACAAACTCGGAGAAAAAATGGTGGAGACTATCAATTTCGGAGGAATTTCAAACTTTATTTGCGTGACGAGACAAATTCCAAACTAGCATTGTATCCTGCAGTTACTAGCATAGTCAGGAGAACTGAGGATCTTACTTTGGATCTTGGGTTCTTGTTTCGCTCGGGGAATTTTGTGAATGACTTAGATGAAAGTGGATTTGTCAATTTGAAAAGGCTCAAATTGAAGTCGGGTTCATGGGAATGCCTTATTGATTCCACCACCAACCTAGCTCCTCGACCTGTTTTTGAAAATCTGGTGTTCATGGGATTAACATCTGGCAAATTGGAAGAAATATGTAATGGAAATCTTCCACCTCGTTGCTTCAGCCAACTTCAAGAGATGAAATTCCAGAGAATAAATTTTATTGAGTACTTGTGGAAGGGGCCAATTGAACCTCCGTCACTTTGCAATCTCAGAGTTATTGAGGTATCTAACTGTCAGCGAATTACAACTCTCTTCTCACAATCAGTGTTGAAATGTCTAGTGAAACTCCAAAAGATAGTCGTATATAGTTGTGAAAATTTGGAAAGCATTGTTATGAGGGAAGAAAATATGAAGGATCAAGTGCTTGAGTTACCCCAACTCAAAGTAGTAACACTTGAATATACGGGCTTAGAGGGCTTTGGCTGCGAAGGCGATACATATTCCAGAGCTTTTCTCAACCAGGTCTCTCTCTCTCTCTGTATTTCTATATGATATACTTCATGTCAAAGAAATAGTTGACCGTGAATTTAGGTGATTGCCAAAAACTCCTGACTCAAGCATTTTGCTCCAAAAGTGTTAATTAAACATATATAGAAAATTGTTTTAGTAGTCATATTGATCTACTCCTTCAATATATGATCAGTATAAAAAAAATGTTGTTTTGTGTAGAATTTTTTAGCACCCGTAGAGACCGAATGATAAATTAATGAATAAAATGTTGACGACAATATTATTTTGATAGCAAGGACTAATGCCATTGGTAAAGTTATCTTTCTTACTTGATGTCATTGGCAAAGCTAGTTTCCGTCCCTGGATGTATTAGGACTGTTCTATTATGTAACAATTAATATTGTGAATACATTTGATCGATATTTGCAATTTCTAGACATGCATTTCAAGCTTTAAGACGAAGTTAGATTGAAGAGAAATTAAACAAGCTTGCAAATGCCACACTCCAGTTGCATTTGTAATCAATTTACGTTTTAATTTTCAGGTCTCACTCCCTCGGTTGGAAATGCTAGACCTTACAAGTCCTGGTTATCGCCCAGAACAATTTGTAGGAGGTGAAATGCTTAGAGGGTCTCTTGAGAACTTAAGATCTTTGGTGCTTTCAAGTTGCTATTTTATCAGATGCATTGCGAAAGCTGATGGTGTGGCATTGTTAGAGAATCTGCAGAGCTTTTCTATGGATGATTGTCCTTCGATGGAATTACTTTTCGACCTTGAGGGTCTAAATGTTCCCATTCCATCAAAAAAGGAGCTTGAAATTCTTCCCAATCTAAAGTCACTGGAATTGAGAGGGTTAACAAGATTAACCCACATTTGGAGGAATTATCCAAAAGGGATTCGAGTATTCCAAAACTTGAGAATATTACAAGTAGAGGGGTGCAGTTTACCATGTTTGTTTTATCCACCTTGCGTGGCTGATATGCTTGCAAGTCTTGAAGAATTGAAAGTTGGTCTTTGCCCGGCTATGTATGGAGTTATAGCGGGGGAAAATGAAGAGACCAGTCAAGAAGATCATGATGCTGGGGAAAAAAGAGAAATTTCATTGAGAAGAACCAACAAGGAGTTTTTGTTCCCAAAACTAAGCTTCTTAAGCTTTGTAAACCTCCAAAATCTTCAAAGCTTCAGTGGTGGTCACCACGAGGATTGTGACTTCAAATTTCCTTCACTGACCCAATTGGAAATAATGCGTTGCCCGGAGTTGAAGAATTTGTGTCCCGGAAAATTGGATGCACCATTACTTAAGAAAGTCAAAGTGGAAGAGAATGATGCCAATATTCCTCTGGATTTAAAGGTAGACATATCCTAATACAATATTTAAATTACCCATCAAACTTTGTCTCTGTACTTCACTATAGTTATGGTTGAGAATTTGCATTTATTTAATTATTTGTGAGTGAGTATTTTCACAGGATAGAGAGATCATCTTTTTTACCAAATCAGAGATAAGGGGGAATAAGCAGCTGTTTTGATCCTTTGGCTGTTCACGGCCTAGCCGTACCGGTCGTCCTTTTTCTAGTATCAATCTCAGTAATGCAATTCATCCAATGATAGACGTACAATCGGACCATGGAGGTATGATACAATCAAACCCTAAGGAACAAAACACTGAATTGAGTCATGCTTGTCTATGCTCCATAAATGGAGTTGTTCCTGTGGATGTTAAGGTACACAGTTTTCATATGCTTGCAAATTCAACTCTCTCTTCTTTTCCTTTAAATTTTATCTCCATCATTTTTTTGGGGGTGGGGATGAGTATGGAGGTTTAATTCTCAGTGCGCATGCTTTTATCTATGTGAGTGGATCAGTGACTAGTGTTACATGACAAAGAACATTAGCATATATAATCCAATTTTTCTTATCTTTTGAAATTTATAATTGAGATCACCTTTCCACGTAAAAGTAGTCTTTCCCTTTATATACAATAGCACCAATGATAGAAGGAGATAATGTGATCCTTCTTCTTCAATTCATTTGCAGAAAGGGCATTCGCTTCCTATTCCTTATTTAATTAGATGAGATGTCACTTCTAAGCCTTATGGACGCTTACATGTAGAGGTATGATTTGATTTGTCCAAATGCTTAGTTAAGCCGTAAACATATTTTGACCTCAGATAAGCACTTAACTGTATTACATACTTTCATTGAACCATATATAGATTGGTTCGGATTTGTGCTAGGTTACATACAAATAAATGATATCTAGCTGGCGTTCTGGAATTTGTATTGTTTGTGATCTTATCAACTTCTTTGATTTAAATTTTAGTATATTGAGTAAAACTATTGCTTTTGAATCCTACTCTTCTTTTGGTCTTGGTTGTATTTTTAGCACTCTACATATTTCTTTTGAAATTTTCTTTGTTTTTATTTGTTTGAAAAGAAGTCCTAATAAGTGTGCATTTTGAGTGATTTAAGTGTATTTTATTATTTAATTTTGATGTGTGTTACTTATTTTCATAGCTAATTAGCAAGGATTCAAGTGAAGTTGACATTTTGTGGTCTAAGTGTAACAAATTGCATTTCTATGGATTAAAGTGGTGAAAATTTCATATTTTTATAGGTTTCAATGATTCAATCATCAAATGGAGTGAATTGAAAAGATATTTGGATGATTGTTGATGATTTGAAGTGATTTAGAGAGAATATGAAGTGCAAAATATTCAAAAAATGAAATGCAATCAAGTATAAAAGAAGAGAAGCTTGATAACTTTGACACCTATTGGTATTCGCCTATATCTTGAACTATAAGCATCAGATTGAGATGATTCTTTAGTCATTTTCAATCTAACAGATAGCTCTACATTTCTTATGAAAACATCGAAATTTAGTTCATGAGTTTTCCTAGTCAAAAAGTCAAAATACAGTCGGCCATTTTTGTTATCAAAAGCTGAAATAGGGGATTGACTGGTCAAGAGTATTTCGATCATTTTTTAGTTTATAGAGCTCCAAATTAGATGATTCTTAAAGAATTGAAAATATAACTCAAAGGGTTACAGCTTTTATGTTTTGCAAAAAAGGTAGTTCAGCCTCCATCATCAAGAAAATATCAATTGAAATTGGTGCAAAAACAGAGTAAAGTTGAAGACTAACCAGAAAAGAGCAAACCTGCAGGGGAGGCAAAACGCACCCACAATGCGCAACCTCATGGGTGCATATTTTTCAATCGATTCTGCAACTTGAACAACAACTTTCTCAGTTTTCACACAGCTTTTTCAGCTCATTTACAGATCAATTTTGGCTGGTTTCTACAGAAGAAGTAAAATTGGAAACTTGAAGAAGTAACTTTTGATGACTACTAGAGCCAACTAGAACCAACTTTAACATAATTGATTGGAGCTTGATTCATCTATAAATAGAGGCCTTGGAGAATATTTCATATAACTTTGGAAGGCTAGAAACACGGCAGAAAATGTAGTCTTCACTAATTTCTCTTAGTTCATTAGTATAGTATAATTAGTGTAGTTTATCGTTCTTGTACTTGTAACTAGATTTGGATAAAGAATTAAGGAACAAGATGGAGAGTTTGAAATTCATATTGTGATGAGGGTGACTTCTCTTCTATCACTTTCTCTTTTGTATTTGAGTTCATATTTAGCTAAAATACAAGTATGGTCTTTTCTTTCATTCTCTTCATGTTTTGCTAAAATTTATGCTTAGAGTTATAGATGAATTTTCTATATCTTGTGAGTGATATTTACTTGGTCAATTGATGATATTATTTTGACTAAGTTATTTAACACTTTTGCTTATCTAATCATGATTAACTGGTTATTAATTGTGATAATTTTAAAATGTTAAGTTTACAATAAGATTGGAATTTAATACAAGTTTAAGAAATTGCTAAATCTAGAGAGTACACTTATGAGAGTAAAGATACACCTTTGCAGCTTTAGTAACTTGTTTTATGTAATTTCATAGAAAAAATGAGTTTGTAGTTAATTTCATAATCACGAGAGTAGGTAAGGTTTAGTTACAAGTATAGTTGATTAATTATGAGAGTATGTTTCACATATATTAAAAAATTATGCCATAATTAGCCAAGATAATAATATTCAATTAACCGATAATTTTACTTGCAAGAGTAATAAGGAATTTCGTAGTTCTAGGAGTTTTCTATTGTTATTTTTATTACTTTTATTTCATGCTCTTAGTGTAGATTTCATCTCTTGCAGTTGTGGTAGTCTAAATAATAAAGGAGTTTGAAAACCATCAGTAATTGACAATCTTTCCTGTGAGATCGACATCTAGTATCATGTACTCGATAAACGATCCGTATACTTGTAGAAAATAGGGTATTTAGATTTTATTAAAATTTGGTGCATGATAGAACTTCGTCAAGTCCCACTATGGATATTCATTTATTTACTTTACGATCTTTATAACTAAGCTTTCAAAAGCTTTCAACCTCTTCAAATCTCTAAAATTGAAATTTTAATGTCGGAATTGGAAAAAAAATTTGAATTGAAAAAGCAAGAGTAAACTAGAGCTACAAGTGAGTTGTAAATTGATTTTGGAATTCCAATGTCTAACCATGTGCATATATTTTGGACATCATAAGTCATGTCAAAGTTGTAATATTCATGCCTTATTTTTTTTTTAATGTTGTAGGAATGAGCAAGTTAAGCAAGTAATATGGTCCGCTTACTATAGTCTTGATTGATGGATTGGGATGCTGGACATGGATGGAAATCTTAGTAGTGGTAAAATATGTCTTGAATTTATATAAGCATATTTTGCTTATTTTGTTTTTTATTTTTAAATTATAAAAGTATTTTACGTGTTGTATTATGCCGCTAGGATTGGACTTAGTAATTGTAATACGCAATCATGTGAAATGCCTTTCACAATGTACTTTATCTGCAGTCACAATATATATTTTCTAGAATAAATTATGCCTTTGTATATTTGGGTGCCAAAAAAATATCCTTGATAAAAGTCTTCTATCAAAGCCCTTACAAAGGAGTGATATTCAAGAACTATAAGGCATTTACACATTCAATTTTAACTCTTTTGACAACTTTTTTCTTGTTTAATAAAGTTTGCATTTTTTATACATACTTTGTTCAGTGTGAATTTAATTGTTATAGTAATAAATTTAATAACTTTGCTAGATATTGAATATGGATTGCTACGTCGTCTGTATTTCATTTAGAACAATTTTGTAGTCCTAGATTTAGAATCATTGGAAAAGTTTAATAACTATATCAAAGAGTACTTGTTAATTTTTTGGGTATACATTGCAATATTTGATGAATATTACCATATTTCAATAAATTTATGTACAAAAGTTTTTAAAAATTAGTATGGTAGTTGAATATTTAGAAAGCAATACTTTTATGGAATAAATATGAGTAAATATGTTACAATACTTGCAATCTGACCCGTGCTATACAAACATTTATATTTTAAATTAGAACAATAGAGGAAAAAAAAGAGAAGAGTATCATTTTAGTGTTAACTTATGTGAAAATGCATTGTTTTAATAAAAACAAAGTAAAAAAATTGAAAAGAGAAAGCTAAAGAGGAAGTAAAATTTATTGTCAATTTCTAACCTAATGTGGTATTTATATAAAATGAAAGGAAAAATATAGTCTAAAAATCATGCATAAATAAATATTAAAGAGTAGAAGAACATTATTGTAGAAATACAAATTTATTTTCTAATTAGTGATAGGTTAACATATTAAGATCAAGCGAAAAGCATAAGACTTTAAATTTGTAAAAGTGTAAAACAAGACTAAAACAACTGTAGAGAAGATCTTATCTATAGGCTAAAATTAAGGTCTAAGGAATTAGAAGTCCTAGTGTCAAATCCCCCTCCCTTGTCTCCTTTTTCAAATCCTGTTACTCTCTTGCTGAAAAAAATTAAGAGAAATAGTTACAAATAAAATAAATGCCTAGAAGTAAAAACCCAAACAATTTATTACTTAATATTTAACATTGAAAAAGAACAAGTATAGTCCTTAACTTGGCCTACCCCTTGATTCCAAACCACCGAAGTGTTTAGCCAAACCAAAAAAATGAAAATAAGAAAATCAAGGAGCAAGAAAAAGTAAAGAAAGGGCAAATAGTAAAACAATTGACAGGTTGTTGAATCTGTGTAATAATAAATACCTGCTCAAACAAAGTATAATTTTTGTAGATAGTGATAAGCAAGGTCGAATCCACAGGAACTGGGGATATTTGTCTCTTTTGAAGTTCAAACTAACAATGGGGGGTTTTTTTTTTTATAGCAATGGAAATAATTAAACGGTTCTAATAAAAATGAATAGCCAACTAAAAATTAAATGACAATTTATTAAAACCAAATTAACAATAACTAAGCTCTAGCCAAGAAATAACTTCAATAATGGTTCTCCTAATTGATCATCGATGCAAAGGTAGTTCCAATTATTAACTAATAAATAAGTTATAACTGCCAAACAAGCGATGACAGTCAACTTCTCCTTACTGTGTCAGTGATTAACGTATGCCCGTTAATCACTACCCTAATCGAGAAATAATTCTAGGTATGCCTGTAAGATTTAATTCCCCAATTGCTTTACGTATTAGAGGAGCCCTATTCTAACCAAATAACACGTTACTAGGATTATTTTAGATTAGTCTGCGTATTCCTCTGACTCAAATCCAATCATGCCAGTTGCCACTATTTTAGAACAATTAAGCAATTACGGATTTAACGCTCCAATTGACATTAGGTTGCTAAATTAATTCAACGTCAGGGCCCAGGATACTCAATTAATAAAACAACCATAAGTACTACAATCAGAAAATATGCAAATACTAGTGAATAAGAGGAATAAATAAAATTAGTTCGATCTCACAATTTTTAGATGAACTAAAACCTCTGTTGTTCTTTGACTAGAAAAGAAATTTAATTGCGCATAGCCAATTGAAGCAATTCACACTATTTTTCCAAAACCAGCCGCATTAGTCTTTGATAGGAGAAAAACTAGAGAAAACAAAAGATTGGCCAAAAGGCCAAGCGGCCGTTGTCCCTCTTGCAAAGCAAATAGTCCTCACTCTTTTATTTTTAGTTGAAGTCCTAATCAAATGGGAATGGCCTTTTCTCTTCGAGCTTCCTAATTCAAGTCTACTACCAAATAAAACTAGTCTCCTAAAGCCACAAAAGAAAGTATTTCAAGTTTCCTACTTCAATCATAAAACTAATAATTATAATTCAAATCTTCCAAATCTTCCTCTAAGGTTGTCCAGAGTTTGAATCAAACTTGGAAATAGGTCCTGAACGTTTTGCTCTTTTTTCCTACAATTAGCACAATTAACCAAATATAAGTAGAATTAATCAATTAACGCAATATTTGGTAAAATAAATGAGGGAAATAACCATAAAATTGATGACAAAAATGCAACCTATCAATTTCCCCCACACCTAAACCATACTTGTCCTCAAGTGTGAGAACAACAAATCAAGCAATCAAATTCAAATAATGGCTATTGCTCGAATCATCTATTGCCAATATACAATTAAAACATATATCAAGTGTTAGTAGCAATTTTCAAGAAATATCTCTCCAGTTAGCTTCCAAGATTAAGGACTCTTTCAATTTCTGACTAACTAATCTAAGAATATAAAATATTCAACCAACATCCATTAGCAAATGGTTCGACTATTAAACAAAATCTCAACATTGAAATTCATGGATTAGTGGGTTAACAATTCATTAAACGGTTCCACATTTTTCACTATTAGCACATATTTTTTTGTTTTCTAAATTATCCCCACACTTGAGTTTTTTTTTCTGGGGGAATGCTTAGTTTTTAGCCATTGAAGCTTTTTAATGCGAATTTCGACATTTGCCAAATGAAAGAGCCCGGTTACTCAACCCTTGATAAGTGATTAATTTATGCTATATTTGAATGATATTTTATGTTATTTTTAGTCACTTTGGCTATATTATTGGAAGAAAATGGATCATTCTGGCTATAATTAATTTAAAATGCTTTCAAGTGATTAAATGAGGTTTTTGTCATTTTTTACTTGCATTTTATCCATAATTTGTATAGGAGTTGGAAATATACTTCATTTGGATGCAAAGGAAAGTTGACAATTTTGATATATTTTTGTATTTCGACTATAACTTAAGCTACAATGATCAGATTGAGATGATTCTGAAACCATTATGAAGATAAGAGATAGATCTACAAATCTTATGAAGACATCCAAATCCAGTTTGAAGGTTTTCTAGGTCACAAATCCGAATTACAGTAGCTAATTTTCTATAGTCGAAGCTGAGACAAGGCAGTGAGCAGTCAAGGGTATTTCTATCATTTCTCTGCCTACACAAATCCAAATGAGCTGATTCTTGATGCATTGAAAGATAACTTAAAGGGCTACAAGTTTCATGTTTTTGTTAAGAGTTAATTCAGCTTCTATCATCAAAAAAAGTTCAGTTGAGTTTGAGACAAAATTGGAAAAACATTGAAGATTGAACAGAAATTGTACAAGAAGACAGGGGAGTAATCCGGCAGACAATCCGACCAGATTCTGGCCGGATTCATGGTCAGAATCTGGTCAGAAATGGCTGCTCTCCACTTGCACAACTTTTTTCCTCCAATAATTCACAGCTATTGATGGACATTGACAACCGCGCAACTGTAAAAAGGGATGTTTGAAGCCTCATTTCTTGACTAGAGTCCTCTATATATAGCCATAGATTTTCAAGATTAAAGAGAGCTTAGAGAGTGCAGAAACACCACAAAAATGTAGTTTTTTTGGTTCTTTAGTGTAAAGTAGTGTAGGATAGTTTAGTTTTAGATAGTTTATCCTTTCTTGTATGTTAGCTACATGAAAATGAAGATGGAGATGAAGAAAGCAAGGAAAGAGCTCATGTGACAAGGGTTACTTTACTTTTCCAACTCTTTATCTTTTGTATTGGATTCTAAGTTTAGTAAATATACAAGTTTTGGATTTTATGTCTATTATGTGTTTCTAAAGTTTATGCCTTGGGTTTGGTTGAACTTTTTATGATTGTTAGTGTTTATTATTTGGCTATTTGATGCTATTATTTTGAGTAAGTTATTTAGCACTTTAACTCTTTAAATCATGATTAACTTGGTACCATTAGTTGTGATTGTCTAAAGGTATTGTTTCTTCAATGAAAATTGAGATTTAATACTAGTTCAAGAAGTGCTAAACTTAGGAAGTACACTCACGAGAGTAGACGTGCACCTATATGGTTTTAGTGATTCATTTCATGTAATTTCATAGAAAAAATGAACTTGTAGTTAATTTCATAACCACGAGAGTAGGTATGGATTAGTTATAAGTATAGTTGATTCACTATGAAAGTAGGTTTCACATGCATAAGGAAATTACGCCATAACTAGCCGAGATAATAGTACTCAATGATCCAAAAATAGCACTATAGTTAGGAATACCATAACCTAAGAAGCTTTCATTTTTTATTATCTTGTATAAGTTTAGCATAGTTTTATCTCTTTTAATTCATTGATCATCTAAATAATAGAGAAGTATTAGTAGTGCCGGTAATTGTTCAATCTTTCTCGTGGGATCGACCTGATATATGTGCTAAACTACTAGTTACATGTATACTTGCAGTCAAAATGGGTATAAATTGGATTTAAACATGTATTTATAGTAAAATCCCGTGAAGTTTTTGGCCCCGTTACCGGGGAAGATTTGCCAATATCGGTACCAAGAACAACTTTATTAATTTAGACATTTTTCTTGTTTTTCTTGTGTTTAGTGTCCTTTTGTTGTGTCTTATATGTTTGTTGAGTCT